ATTTCCCAAGCCCACACAGTAGCCAATACAGGACAGCAAGAAGTCCAGCTTGCCCGTCCAGTTGCCCCTGTCTGCTGCAAAGTCCACATCCAAGTCCACATCGCCCTGGTCACTGGGAGTCATCAGCAGGTCTGGGGTGACAGGCTGCCAGTAGGAAAGAACAAAGCAGAGAGGGTGAGGCCAGGATGGAACCGGGAACCCAAGCCAAGACTGTGGAATCAGACAAGGCTGAGTGAAGAATGCTCATCTCAGTTCCGCTAATCAAGTGGTTTCATCTGGACTCAAGAGGCTCTAGCTTGGAGATCTTCAGGAACCAGCAGGGTGGCCCAGGCCTTAGGAAGCTGCCTGGCCTCATCTTGGCTTGCAGAAACAGGCCAAGGATGATCCGATTTTAGTATCACTGCCAGTGATAATCTTCGTGACTGTCACTGTGTGTTAGTGATCACAGCACTAAATATTCTACTCTCATCACCTGAGCCGATGGCTCATCTGCACTCAACTCCAAGGCAAGAGGAAATCGAGGCTCCAGGAGGGGCCATGACCTACCTGAGACTTTTGCCTGCTTGGCTGTTAGGAGAACCATGTCTGGCACCCACCACTCATGATGCTAATGGCCTAGTCTTCACCCACTTGGAGATTATATCCATCTGAGTATGGGGACAGTGTGAAGCACACCCAAGGGCAGGTGGGAAGACTGGAAGGTGTTCAGGAAAAGAGGCTCCAGGGGGCACAGAGGGAACAAGGGTACCCTTGGTACAGGAAGCAGACTTGACAGAATGTGGGCTCCCTGAGGAAGGGATCCAAATGTTGTCTGTGGCTTAGAGAGCTAGCAGGGACTGTGGGTTTTGCCTAGCACTCAGAAAGAACATTTTATGCTTTGTCGCAGAAAATCAGAGTCCAGCTATCATTAACAGAGAGGAGAGTGGAGAAGAGAATGAGGCCAGCTGTCCTGACTGTCTCCTTCCATGATTCACTGTGGTCAGAGAGGTCCCCTGGGCACTCTCCCTGTGGCTGGGGCTAAGAGGCAGAGGTCAGCTCCAGATGCTTGGGATCTTGGCCTCAAAGAATGCATGTTGCCCTGTTTGTGACTTACTCTGGCTTTGGTACCCGAAGGAAGCTCGGAGATTCCCAGAGAACCACCTGAAATTCAGAGAGCAACTCCCAGGAAGGGACATGGGAATGGGTCAGAAGATGGCATTCCACTTTACCTGCTGGTTTCTGAAATTCCTTAGTGCCCAGGAGAATGGAAATATAAGTAAGCCAATCGGTAAATCTCCAGCCATGGCATGTACCACAGGAAGAGAAAAGCCCCTTCCCTCAGCTTTCTATCATGGGAAATCCTAGGAACAAGGGCACTGATTCTGGCCCATGGTCTAAGCTACACTGTGTGACCATAGCTTTCTGAGTCTTAGTTTCCCCATTTAGACAGTGTGGAAACTGGGTAGATTATTGTTTCAGAGGCTCATAGGTATTCTGTGGAAGAATTCTCCAGTCAAAAGCTGGGTTAACACAATCTAAAATGTACACTTGCAGGATCAGAGAGCTCATTTAATGGCCAGGCCATTCCAAATAGGGACTAGAGAATGCAATATTCCTAATTTCTCTTTAAGGAAAGGATCTCAAGTGCTGGTACCTTCAGAGGTATGAGTCTAGATGGCATCAGGGAGCCCTCTGGTTAGAGGTCTTTGCTATAGGCTCACAGTGACCGGGCCCAGCTAAGAGCCTCTTCAGGGACTCAGATCCAAGCCACTGACTAGAAGAGCTTCCTTCCAAAATAGGTAGTGAGGAGGCTTCACTAGGTACTGGCCACACGAGCGTCACTAACATCAAGATGATGAAAGGAGGGCCAGGGTGTGGCTCCGGGGTAGGGCATCTGTCCTCACATACCAGGCCTGGCTTCTGTCCCTGGCTGGACAATGGAGGTGAACCAACCACAGCTGGAGATGTCTGCAGTAGTGTCAGGCTGGACAGTGGATCCTGCGGCTGCACTAAAATTACAGTGTTGGGTTAACTCAGTGACAGTAGTGTGACCATGACAGCAATCTTGTCTGTGGTTAGGCAATGGTGTCAGGGACAGCCTAGCATGAGTGTGGGTGATGGTGACAGACAAAATGAAAAAAAGGTGCTTTAAAACTGAGATAAATAAATGCTGGAAGTGGTGGTTTTCTGCTGTGGCCTAGGACATGCTGTGGTGAGGGTGGCAGCAACTCCCAGGCTTCGCTGAGCTCCCCTCCTTTCCCTCCCCTCCCTTCCTCTCCCCTCCCCTAAAGCTGACTCTCCAGTTGTGAGAACCAGCCATTGGAGACCCTCAGGCTTTTACAGGAACTCTAAGAGAGAGTTGGTGGCAGGCATCTGACATGACCCTTGTCACTAGGCTGCAAGATAGGCCTCTTACCCAGAGACACCCCGTCCCTTTCAGGACAGCTGACAGGAGGTCCCAGTAATGAGGCTCCTCTGATCCCCTCAGAGACACTGCCCTTTCCACACTCACAGAGCAGTCCGATCTGTTTCCATGGCGACCAGAGTTCTAAGAGCAGGAGGCTGCCAACTCGTCCCCCACCTCCCCCAATCAGAAGGAAGCTTGCTCCTGTTCCAAGGCCAGAGGATGGGGGTCCCCCAAAGACATGCCAACCAGGAACCCACATGGAGCCCTAGCCTCACCATCAGGTGAATCCCAGGAAACTCTGAGGCTGGTCCAGAAGCAGAAGCCAGCAGCCAAGTAAATGGTTCAGGGCCAGAACCTACCTGGCTGGCTTTCCACTTCCACCTGGTTGGGAGCTCCTGGTCCCTACTCTGGATCATGCAGGAACACACTTCTGAGCATGCACCTATACCCTATCTTTTAGGGACCAACAGATATGGATCCCCACCCCCAGGCATCAGGAGAAGGCAGATTGCCAAGCCTGGGTGGGGCAGGGGGATCTTCTACCTTCTTGGAAAGACAAAAGGCATCCCGGCATCTCACTTCACTGCAGGAAACAGAGCTCCAGAGAGGAAAGGGAGGGGCCCAAGGTCAAATGACAAGTCAAGGGCAGAGCACTCCTAAGACAGGTCCCCCCACCCCCCAGCCCAGCCAGATGCTGGCTCTCCTGACCCTTGGCTTTGCTCATAGAGCCCTCTTCTCTCTGAGCCATTGGTGGGGGAGCACACCAGCACTGCTCTGCCTGTTCTAGGTAGCTTCTACTTCCAGGTAAGTCATAAGCAAGTGCTTCCTTCATGACTTCAAGGAAGCACTTGCTTTTGTGCCTCAGTTGCGATGTCTATAAAATGGGCTAGGGTGGCTCAAGGAAAAGAGGCTGCAAAAGCTCCTATGTGGCACTCAGCAAGAGCTTCTTACCACATGGCTGCTTCTATCATGTGTGGTTGTGACAGAGAGGGGCTGGGGTTCTTGTGGGAAGGGACAGCAAAGTAGAGAGAGAGAATCCTAGGGGGAATGGGGACAAGACCCAATAGAATCCAAGAGACCACAACCAGCTTCAAGAAGTGACTCCTGCCAGCCAATAGAAAAGACCCAACTACCCCAGTGTTCCCAGGCCTGGGAGTATAAGGACAGAAATGGTGAATGAATGTGTGTGTGTGTGTGTGTGTGTGTGTGTGTGTGTGTGTGGTGTATAAGTGTGTGGGGGGATGTGTGTGTTATGTGTGTGGTGTGGAGGGTTGTATGTGTGTGTGGTATGTGGTGTGTGAGTGGTGTGGTAACAGTAGCTAGTCCCTGTGAAGTCTTCTCCTGTGTAGCTGCCTCTTCCAGTTAATAGCATCTCTACATCTCACACAGCCCAGTGGGTGAGGGGTTGTTTTTTCCACACCGGAGATGGATGGTTGGAGAATGGAACTGACCAGTCACCACCAAGTGGCAGCTTCGGAAACAGTACTCAGGAGTTCCCTTTCCCTGTCTAGTAAAGCTGACACTTTAAAGCTCGTGGCCAGAAAACTTACCTCAGTACTCCCCCTCCCCCAAACAATTGGGAAGTCCAGCATGGCCAGGTCTGCCTGACGTCTCTACTGCTCCCCCACCTCCCATTCTTAGGTTCCCTTAGGCTCTTGCCTCCCTTCAACCCAGATCGTGGACTGCCTGGGGACTCCGCGGGGGAGAGGGCGT